AACTAACACTAAACAGTACTCATAAACTACAAAATTTTATGCTGAGTAATTAAGAGCCACCTTCATTTACCTTTTACATTCTTACTAACACTTTAAAGTCATTTTCTTTTTCCCAGTTGAAGAAACCAGGAGGGAAGAAAGGTCAAATAACTTGTCCCAAATCCCCCAACTACTGTTGCCCCGAGATTACGATCCAGAATTATTTGACTTTACAACAGCACTCTAACTATACATGGCTGTCTCCTCTAGGGATTACTATGACCATAACCTCTATGTACAATGAGCATGGTTGTCCACCTACACAACGAACTTCTCAGAACAACTGGAATCAGAGCAAACACTGCCGCAGCATGAAGCCAAACAAAAATTTGGTTGCTCAAACTTTATCTTTTTCCAAACTGTAATCCAATCCACAAGCAGCTGTCCCTCAGCTGCAACCCAGACTGCCTTACCAGTCTCAAATTATTACCAAAGTTTAATTCTTCATGAACTTTCTTCATGTGTGATCCACAAGCCTTGGAACAATGAAATGTTCATCAAAATAACCCTTTCTCTAGTCAATAGTTTCACCATACAGTCAATCTAACTCCTTTTTGTAATCAGCTTGTCAACCAGCTGTGTATACTTATTTGGAACTCTAGTACTTTTGATCTGGGCAAGTAAAACATTTTCTGAGCATTTTATATAATCCTAGAAAGCTATATTATATAGATATTTACTAAAGTCTCAGAGAATTGATTTTTAATAATACACTCCCAAGTTTTGACACCAACCACAAAAGTAAGTATATAAAGGAGCTTAATAACAAAGTCAACAAACTACAATTCCAATTTATTTCTAACACCACATCCAAGCAAGTTTTTGCTGTAGGTACTAGGCTCAAGTTTACCTAAGTGCTTTTTCCACCCAATTGCTTATATACAAATTAAATCACTGACCTACTACATAGTTAGAAAAGTGCAATGCTAAATCACAGGTCTGTATTATGATCCTCATTAGAACGCTTTCTGGAAAACCTACTTTGTATAAATTTTTCATGTCTACGTTACATTAAGTTTACAAATTTGCAAAAAAATAAATGTCAAAAGTCTGATTTTTTTCTAAGCTGATTCTCAAACCCAGCCCCTGGGGAAAAAAAATGTTCCAAATCACTGAATTAATTAATTGCCATTTCCAGGATTTACACACCACTGCACTGTATCTTAGAAAAGTTTCTGCCTTTGAACGGGCTTGTTTACTCAAAACTTAACTTCCTGAACTATCAGAACCAAATACTAAATAGTAAATATGTACTCATGTAACTAAATCAAAACTGGTCTTTCAGCCTACACAGGAGCCCTAACAATACAAAAACTGAAACAAAACTAAGAATGAATTATGCCGTCAATACAGAGATGGATCCCCTAAACCTCACAATCACCAAATACTTGAGTTACAATACAAGGTAAAACAACAACAGCAACAACAAACTCAGGTCTGTAGAACGTTTACGACTTTTTTTTTTAACTTCCTAAGGCGCTTCACGGATCTCCAAAAGTGATTCTGTACAGAACTACTTAAGTTACGCTCTAAACTACAGCGCTGTGGAATATGACCGTTGAAATCTGTAGACCAAATCCTGTTTATGGAGGAAGAGAAAAGACTCTTGCATGTAACTACCAATGCTTCAGCGAAATACTGTGGAACGAACACCACCAGCACGGTGGCCGGTGACCGAAGAAAGCGACGCCGATCGCTAGGCGGATACAGTTCTTAAAAACATAAGCGGGGCTTGCCCTGCAGAGAAGGTGTAAACAAACCCATGGCCACTGCAGACGGTACACAATGAACCTGCGGCAGAGTGAGGGGGCGGTCTCTAGCCAACTCCAGACCCAGCGGGCCCGGGGGGAAAGGGAAGCAAGCAGCAGGGACACACACACAGCATAAACCAAGACGCTTAGCAGTCAGCCCACAGCGGCTCTCTCCCATTTCACCGCCGAGTTAGCAAAAAGCTCCGGGTCCACCGGAGGACCGCGCAGCCCGGAGAAAAGCAGTCAGCAAGAACCCAGCCTGGTCCAGCCATCTGCTCCGGGGGACGGGGAGGGCAGGATGTGGTCGCTCTTCCCTCCAACATCCTCCAGTAACCTAAATAACAACGTCTACCTTCCCCACCCCCCCACCCCCGCGCCCCGCTACACCTCCCGGGCCGCCCCCGGGATTCGGGGGGCCCGGGAGCGGTGGAGAGGAGCAAGAACGGTCCGGCGTGTGGCGGGGGTTGGAGGGGTGTCCGTCCGGAGAGCCCCGGGGTCTCTCCGGCTGCGCTCAGGTCCTGCCCCGCGCTCCAGCGCTCCCGCAGCCGCCCGGAGGGGCTCAGCCCGGGGGGGAAGCGGGCGCGGGGCAGGGGGATGGGCGCGGGCTGGGCCCCTCGCTGCCCCCGCGCGGGTCGCTGCTTCCCCGGCCACCCCGCCTCCCCGAACCCCCCGACCCCGCTCCCGATCCCGCGCCTCCCCGGCTTACGCGCCCCGCGTTACCTCGGGTCAGATCCAGCGGGACGTTCTCCTCGCCGCTGTCATTCCGCCCTGCGCGAAACAAGACACACACACACACAAACACCCCAGTTAGGAAGCATCGCAGGCCGCCGGCGCCCGGGACCCAGCTCGTCCCCCACCCCTCCTCACCCCCAGGCCCCGCGGGGCAGGCCCGA